GGCTACTAGGGTTTACTAAGTTTGCTATCTTACTATAGCTAAGTTCAACCGATTTGAAGCGTTGCTCCTTGTGCGGGTGCCAGGCGGAAAACTGGTACTTCACGGTCACGGCAAGTCCAGTGCCACTTCGGTTGGGAGCTCTGTCTGGAGAAAGTGTCAGTGTGGTGTTGTTAGTTGTTCCTTGACCGGTAGCTCGGACTGGTGTTCCCTCCCGCCCTCCCTCCCTGCCTCCCTCGCTCCCTGCTCGGCTTGGCTCGGCACTGCTCGCTCGCTATTGCTTGCTGCACAGGTTCCAGCTTTTGCTTTTTCCTTATCGCCCTTGTGGCCGCCGTAGCATAGCCCATAGCCGCCATAGCCTTGTACCATGCGAAAGGGCTTCTTGCTCCAGCCGAAGGGATCCAAGCCCGACTCCAAGAACAGATCCGATGCTGATGCCGACCCCAAGGTGATGCTGGACAGCGAAGATGCCGAGTCCAACGGGACGCGTCAGGAGCACTCCAATGCTTCCGAGTCCCGGGTGGCGCTGAAGGAGAGCGCGGATGCTGGCCATGCTTCCGACGTGAAGGACAAATCCGATGATGGTGCCTCCGAGGACATGGACCTGCAGCCCTGGAAATTCAGCTTCGACCAGGATACAGATATCTCTTTCTGCTTCGACGAAGATGGTCAGTTCGTTGTCCGAACGAAGCCGTCTACGTGAGCAGTGGACAAGGCCGTCTTCGTGACTTCGTGAGCCCTGGAGCATCCGCGCCAGGCCGTTTTTGTGAGGAGAGGCGTCAGAGAGCCTGTGCCAAAAACCATTGCGCGAGCGTGCTGCGGCTCCGTGGCCTGTATGGCTGCATGATGTCTGTATGTGCTATGTCAGGGTTATAGTATTATATAGATATAGTATGTTGCCAGTTTCTATGCCAGTGCAATTGAACAGCTGTGTTTCGGTATCCGACATCCCAGAGCGACTTGTGGGCTGGAGCAACATAATGCTCATGACTCATGACTCATGATGCAGACTGCCGGCCATCGGCTTTAAGCCAGCTGGGAACAGAAACCATATGGTCCAAGGCCCAAGGCCCTACCTAGGCTCTCTAGATTCTAGATGTAGATTGAAAAAGATTCTAGATTCTGAATTCTAAAATGGGGATTCCAGACCCTAGGGTAGATTCTCATTCTAGCTTCTAGCTCCGCATTCCAGATCGGGAAACTGCTCAGATCAATCTGCGTTAAAATTGGCCATGTGTTGTCAGCAGCTGTTGACTTGGCTTTGCGGAGCAGCCCAGAGCGTTTCTCGTCCACTGACCAGCGTTTATGGCTGCAACTGCAAACTAGTCGCACTAGCAGAGACACGGCGTATCATGCGCTTGCAAACATATACAACAGACACTCTTGATTGTATAGGTGATCAGGATGGGGTATGCTGCATAGTGACGTAGTGTGTACAGCCAGCTTTGCGTAGTGTAGCAGTATAGCATGGTATAGCAAGTCGAATGTGAGCGCTGCTCGTGGAGTGCGCTGCAGTGCAGATTCAGGGCATGCCGCCCAAGAAACTCAAGAAACGGCGAGGAGTTTTGAAAAAGTGCAAAAGCCGCCGCAGGAGGTTGAAACGGTCGAAGTTGAGGAAGGCAGCTGCGACCAAAGCTGCGGATGCACCAGAGTCACCAGAATGCAATGATGGCAGTGGTAACATGGACAGCATGGACGCAGATGACAACCGAGACGAAGACTCTGACCATCCGGCAGCAGATGACGCTCAGTCCGTGGCCTCCGAAGTTGCCGGTGGCCAGACCGACGAAGCAGCTGTGGAAGCTGCGGAGCAGAGCGATCAGGAAGTGTGTTCAGCTGCGTCTACAGCTCACGATGATGAGGAGAATGAGGATGTTCAACCAGCAGAAGAAGATGAACGCTTGATGCGGCATGTTGTCCCGAACAAAGCCAAGGCACACCAGACCTCGCCTGCGACGTACAAGTTTGATTCGCACTTCGGCGAGAATGGCTATGGTCAGATCGTTTCCTTCATTGAGCAGGCGCTCAGCTTCGTGGACAACGGTGCACGAGCAGATCTCGCTGGCATGCTTTCCGCAGACATGAAAAGTCTGCGACTCGGCACGGCTTGTTCTGGTTCAGATGGCCCGGTCGTCGTCGCGAAGGCTTTCGGCGATGCCGTCCGCAACGTGTTCGGCATTGAAACTGAAGTGGAACATGTCCTCTCGTGCGAGCGAGACGAGGCGAAGCAAGTGTTCCTTCAGCGTATGTTTGCCAACTCTTTTCATGGTTCCTCCATGGATTTTCTCGTGCCGGAGACAAAGCAGCTGCGCCCAGGACCTGGATCTTTGGCCTACGACATTTTGTGCCAGAAGAAGAGGAAACTGCCAGAGACTGGCGAGTTGATCTTTGGCTTCCCGTGCCAAGACGTGTCGAAGTTGAATGGCAACTCAGATGCTCACCGGGCCGTGATCAAAAACAAAGCAGCCCGCACCGGCTCCGTCCTCGATGACATCTTGTCCTATGTGAAGGCAAATATTTCCTGTGGTGACGGCCGGCGCTTCAGTGGACTCATCATGGAGAATGTGTTGGGACTGGCAGAGGGTCCCAAAGGCATCAACCCTGACACAGGTGAGCCATGGAGATCAAATTTGGACTACGTCAACAAGAGGGTGGAGGATTTGGGCATGTCCATGTTCACTTTTGTGCTGGATCCCAGGCTGGTCGGCATCCCAGTTTCGCGGGGCAGGCTGTACATGATTTGCCTCCCGAATTGGATGTTTCAAGAGGCGAACGTTTCAGCAGCTGAAGCATGGGCTTGGGCTGCGGATACCATGGACCGGATGTGTTGCAACACCGTGCGCAACCTTGACGACTTCCTCTTGCCAGAGACCTCTCCATTGGTGACTCGTGCGAAGGAGATCGCTGCAGAGATTGGTGACAGGAGGGAGATGCAGGGACATAAGAAAACAAAGCAAAAGTGGCCAGAAGCGCATGCAAAAGCACTGCAAAAGGCTGGTCTGGATTGGTGGGAGTCTTGCCAGCCCGACGCAGCCACCTTGTCCAAGTGGCCCGGGTTGCGTGCTTTGAATGATCGACAACACGAGCTTTGTCGCATCTTCCAGATACGTCACCCTGATCCGAGGGTTTGCGGCATGGACCTCTCCCAGGGCTTCCGAGGCGCAAAGCAGGTGCGGCACAACCACTGTGAGATAGTCACGCCTCATGGGCAGTTGTTTCTTACAAGCCGTGCCCGCTTCGCCACCGGCCTGGAGTGCATGTGGCTTCAACAACTGCATTTCGGACAAGATCAGTTCAAGGTGGAGTCGGACTTTGATGAGCATCAGCCCCTGCTGCAGGATCTGGCCGGGAACGCCATGAACTCCTTTTGCCTCAGTGCGGTGTTGACGGTCAAAAGGTTGCTCGAGGCTCGCTTGCGAACAGCAGCCTTGCTCAGGCAGCGGCAGCAGCAGCACTGGCGCACGGTCCTGTGCTCCACGGGCTTGGCGGGCTCGGGTCATGACACCAGAAGTGAGCGGGCACAGTGTCTGCGATCCAGTACCATCGATCAGTTGATGGGTTTTGAGGACTCTCAAGACCAGGCTACCTGATTGTCTTGTGTGGTCGTCACGGGCAGCCTATACACTTGTGTCTTCGGCTTTTCGGTCCTCTAGTTACTAGTTAGGGATGTTTCATAGGTTTTGGCTTCGATATTTTTAGGCTAGCTGCGGACCACAAGTCGTAGAGTCGTAGATTGTGTGCAGACATGGATTATGTCCTGCATGATGCCTTTGGACAGAAGCCTCGGGCCTCGGGGTTTGAACCGCTTCCAACCGCTGGAAACAAGCTGGCGTGCGTGCTGTTAGTAGATCAGTGGCCCTCTAACTCTATAAAAGAATCTGCTGTTGACTGTTAACTGAGTTAACTGACTGTTATCTCTATTCGTCAAGCCTTAGTCGCATGGGTCTGTTTATCTAGTCTGTGATTCCAGCCAGCTGCCAAGGCCACAACGCGTGGCTCCGGTGCCGCCTCTGCTTCAAGCGACCATGGCCCAAAAGCAATCAGGATTCAGGAATTCAATTCAAGATGATCCGTAGATGCAAGCGTGTGTTTGCTATTATGGGTTCAAGCTATAAGCCTTGAGCCTCAGCTTGGTATCATGCAGGCTCTCAAGCAGGGGCCACACCCGTGGAAGGTGGGCACACAAAACTTGAGTAATGAGTAGCTTCAGTCTTTGAGTCTTTGAGTCTTTGGTCTTGGTTGTCTCTTCTGGAATGGTGTCAAGATCCTCCGATTATGCGAGCTCTTAAGCAGGGGCCACACCCGTAGAAGGTGGGCACACAAAACTTGCGTAACTTTAGTTTTTGAGTCTTTGGTTGTGTCTCCCGAATGGGGTCAAGATCCTCCGTACCGATGCCTTCACCTGGCCCACCGACATCTTTTCTTCAGTCAGGTTAGCGGTGAAGGTTACAGTACGGTTTAAGTTTAATCAGTAGTCTAATCAGTAATCCCTGTCTAAGGCTTGAGGCATGAGTCTTGAGACCTTAGATTTGAATACTGTAGATTTTCAGGCAGGCCCAGGCTCAAAGTCAACGGTTCCAACGACATCAGGTCATATTTGTTTAAGGCTCACATCTCATATCTTCTCCGCAGTGAAATGGAAACTCCGACCTCAATCCGAGAAGCAACAGATTTTCACTTGGAGGTTCTCGTAGAATGGCTTGCCTAACTGCCGAACTGTAATCAAGGTCGCGATGGCCGATGGCATTGCCTTGCGTGGTGCTCAGTCCAAGCTTCAGCCTTCCTTCACGGTTCGACTGGTAGACGTACAGGATCCTAACCATATATATAGTTAACTAAATCGCCTAACTGACTATTTCGACGTGTATTGAATCCACGTCGAGACTTACTGCCAGCCGGCTGTTGCGTCCAGAGTAGTTTACTTGCAGCTTGACTCCTGGGTCCTCGTGGTTCAATTGAGGTTTTGAGTGCCTACTGTGACCTGTGTTCGTGCAGTGCGAAGCATGGCTCCCAAGAGCCAGGCTGGAAGTGAGCTGTCCTTGCCTTCGGCGGAAGGGTCGGAGGATTGGAAGTCGCCCTCATTTCGAGGGTGCCGGTGGTGCCGGCGGTCGAGGAGCTTCCCTAACCCCTACCACAGTCTCTTTCCGGATCGTCCTTTCCTCGCGTTCAAAAGCGAAAGACATTGCGAGTGCAACACATGCACCTGCATCAATCGCTCGAATCGCCCGGACATCAAGACAAAGGAGCAGAAGGACAAGCTTCAGAAGGAGATGACAGAAGACGACACGAAGCACTCCGAGCACATGCAGATGGTGAACAACTACGAGGCCCAGCATCTTGCGAACATGACCAAGAAGAGGAAGCGTGGTATTTACGTGAATCCGGAGATGGATGAAACCCCCAAGCAGATCAAACTTGGGAGTGAAAGCTCCTTGGAGTTTCGCCAGGTGCTGGGGGTGCTGTGGCCCAAGCAGCTTTTCGAGGAGGCAACTGGGACGAAAGTCAGGGAGAGCGACCTTACTGTCATCGAGGAAGGCAGCAAGGTGCTCAGAGGCGTTCTTCGCCCCAGATCCGAGGGCTGCCCCGAGGGCTGCACAGAGGTGACCAACATCCATCGCAGCTTCGCCGCCCAAGTGACGACAGCTGCGGACTCGGAGACCGCCATCGGGAAGGACCAGCTCGAAAAGACTTGGGCGGAGGCGCGCAATGCCCAGGAGTTAGCCACGAAGGAGACCGAAGTGGATGGCCAGAAGCATCTCCAGCTCACGGGTGGCCTCAAGCGTCCAGCCTCCCGTGACGAGTGGGATGACATGTTCGACTTTGGGCCGCATGTTGTTGGAGGCTGGCTGGGCCACGGTAAACTGGAAACATAAACATATTCAACTAAACATAAGTAATAAGTCAATAAGTAGTTTAGTAACTTTAGTAAACCGCACATGGACGGGACCGTGCTTGCTTTGTGTCATCGTCTTCTCTGAAAATACACAAGTAACGGGCCTACTGTGGCTGGCATTTCTATTTGGGGTCTTGCTTACGCTGATGGATGGTAAGCTGGAGATTTGATGAGCCGGCTTTGGGGCACAGGTTGCCTACGCTGATGGGTGGTTCGGGGCTACGGCGGGCCGGTTTTGGGGCGCAGGTTGCTTACGCAGATGGGTGGTCCCGGTTAGGGGGCGGGTTTGGGGAGCAGGTTGCTTACGCTATCTATCTATCTATCTATCTATCTATCTATATATATATCTATATATAATTATTAATGTAATATTACGTAGATCCCGGACCGAACCCTTATAACTTATAAGTTGTGAATATTGATAACTAGCCGGAGAACCGAACCCTAAATCCTGAAGGTCGTGATCGTGAGGTCAGTGAGGTCTTGAACGGAGCCCTGTAAACCCTGAACCCTGTATGTATAAACTCATAAATGTATCATCGTAAATCCTGTCCTGAACCGTAAGGCTAAGGCCCTGAGCCCTAAGCCCAAGGCCCAAGGCTTATCCAAAGGCCCTAAATCAAAGTCTTTTAACTCTTAATCTTATAGACTCTTAGATCTTAGACTCTTAGACTGTACACTGTACACTGCGCAGCACACCGTAGCTGTAGAGTCGAAATTGACGTTGGCCGTGGCCAGGCCCTGCGCCTGAGGAGCCCATCCCCCCAAGAAAGGGCAAGGGCAAGGGCAAGACCCGTGGCGGTGGAAAAGGCGGCAACAAGGGAAGAGGCAGAGGCGAGAGAGCGGACGGTGAAGTGCCGCCGCCTCCCGCCACCAACAAGGCGGACATCAAACTCACCAAGGAGTTGCAGATTTCCGAGAAGGTGATGCTGGATGCCCAGCATCTTCTCCAGAACCTGTCGACTGGAGAGAATTTGACAGGGGTGAAGACGAAGGCACTCACCAACATTCAGAGCAAGATCTCTGCGAGATTGTCGGCTTCGTTGGTGGCGCTTTACACGCAAGGCTACGACCCCAGCCAGAACGCGGTTGAGACCCCGGGGATGAAGACGCTTGAGAACCTTCGAGCGCTACAACGGCAGCTGCAGCAGGTCGAAGGTCTTGTGAAAGCAATCAACGATGACGAAGCTACGGGCGACAGCATCTGGAAAGCAGGACAAGATGCGAAGTCTGCTGACTTCGAGCCGTCGAAGCAACTTGGAGAGTTCGCTTTGCAGAGAGAAGTGGACCGGGCAGCGAAAAGCCAGAACTTCGAACGTCTTTTGGAGCTCCTGAAGTGTGAGCCCGCCGTGGCTGACGACCCCACCGCCTTCAACGCAAGCCTTTTGGCCGAAGACAAGCGAAGCACTTTTATGAACCGCGAAGTCATGAGGCTCTTGGCGGAGTTGCTTCGCCACGACAACAAATGTGCAGAAGTTGCCAAGCTCGTGACCGTGGTTGTGGGCTCAAAGTTGCTGGAGCAGGACTCCCCCCTGCTGGCAGAGCTGAAGTTGCTGCAGACACTCTTGTCTGCGAGCGATGCTTCGGTCCCAGCGGATGATATCCAAACGGCTTTGGCCAGGCTGCAGGGTGATAAGAGCTTGAAGCTTCACAAAGTAGTCAACAACTTTGCAACCGGACTGCAGACCATCAGTGATGCCGCGAAGGCCTTGAAAAGTCGGGCCTCTGATGCAGCGCTGCAAGTCAGGCTAGGCAAGCTGGTGACGGAGGTTGAAAAGCCGGTCGACAACATCACTGAGGTTGCCGCGATCAACAACTTCCGGGAGCTCATGTCAGAGAACAAGCAGATCAAGTCCGCTGCAACTCAGGACTTCCTGAAGCAGAACGTCGATAAGTTGCAGAAAATCTCCGAGACTATGAAGGACTGGTGTGTGTAAGTCCAGAGTCCAATGTTTTTGGCTTATAAGTTATAGGTCTACGTCTAGGTGTCTGGAGTCGAGAGTGTTGAAATTTCGAATCAACATAGGCTAGGTGCGTTTGGCTTTAGGCCTAGGTCTAGGGTCTGTATAGGGGGGCTGGGGCCTATAGACTTAGGACCTAGGATCGAGGACCCTCGGACCTAGGACCTCGACCTAGGAGTTTGGGCCAGGCCTCCGGGTAATCACTTTTGAGGGTGTTCTCGCACGTCGGATTACACAGGCGAGGGCCAGGGTGGGTTTTGGTTTCGTGTTTTTCCGCGCTGCAGAAAATTAAGGCTGATTGAGGTTCCCGGCTTATTGACATATGAGGTGACCAGAGCGCTGCTGACCCACGATTCACATTGAAATAGCCCATGGCTTCGTTAGGAGTTTTGGGTTTTGCGTTTAAGTTTATGGCTTAAGGCAGCTGAAGGCTTAAGGTGCGTGCATGTTGTGTGTGCAGATGAGGACTCCCGGATTCCCATGGTTGCTGCTGTTGGGTCTGTCGGGTGGGAGCGAGTTTCTTTCCCGGTGACAGTGTTGCATTCTCAAACAAAATCTCGCATGCAGCAGTGGGAAATGTAAGAGCCCCAGAGTCTTAATTGGGCCCGGTCATAAGACTCATCAGACAACGTCAGACTCATCATAACATGTTACGGGAAAGCTATAGTTGTGTTTGAGTTCATGTGATTTGTCCGTGGGGCAGGCCTGGACAACGAAGATCCGGGCCTCGATGGATGATGCCACAAGTAAGCTTTTCAAGTCGTGCTTTGAGAAGATGGTGGAGGCCGGCTCGGCCAGCCCAGATGCAGATGTTGCCGCCCAGACGATCAAGGAGTTCAAGGACTTTGTGGACGCCGGCTGCCAGAACACTCTGGAGGACAGCTTCGTTGTCATGGATGGCCTCATGGAGACCCAGGAGGACTACGAGAAGTACAAGTCCGTGCAGGAGTCCTTGCAGCAACATCTTCAGGCGATGAAAGCTACCGTCGAGACCATGATCCACGGTGATGGAAGTTGGCTCTACCAAGACAGCCAGCCAAATGGAATGCTGCAAGTTCTTGCATTGGTTTGCAAGCCCCAGCCGGTGCTGGAGCGATTCGAAGGTTTCTCGGCTTGGAAATCCTATGCCCAGGGCAGATTGGACTACATGACCGAGGATGCCCTGGTGAAGACCTTGCAACCCCTCATGAAAAGCACGACAGCAAAGAAGGTGCTGCGGCAGATCATTGAGATGGCGTTGGGCTGTGGTTCTGAAGCCATGGATCTTTCTGCTGCTGGCACCAGTGAGGACATGATGAAGTCCATCGCCGATGCGATGAAGACCTGTGAGCATATCCTCGGGAATGTGAAGGACATACCGTCCTACCTTGGAAGAAAGGTCGAACATGTGGCAGACATTTTCCAGGGGGATGGCGCCGAAGTTTCTGGAGCCTCAGGAGGTGGCATGCCGCCATTGTGGATATTGTGCTGCCTGCCAAAGGCTTTGGGAATCATCCTCAATGCCAAGAGCTTGAAAGGCTGGTGTCCCTAGGAACCTCCCGAGTCAGCCAGGAATCGACAGCTAAATAAATCCTTCCCAGTTTGGTTCCACCAGAAAACTCCTCCCGATCAGCACCCCCAGCCTCGGCAAAGGCAACTCAGTTCAACTCAATAGTCACCACTGCAAGTCTTGCCACTATTTGCCCTGAAGGCCAGAGTGCTGGCTTGCAGAATGTCAAAGAAGAGCCCTACAGCGCAGATCAGTGGCAGAGCTTTGTGGATGCGGTTTTGTCATCGAGCCTTTGCGCTGTATGTCCGTTGTCTGTTTTGTGGTTCTTGTCCGGCTTCTGATGAATGGATTTAGGTTCGAATTCCAGCTCCATAGCCTGCAAGTTTCATCGCAAGGCAAGAGCGAGTCCTGGCCCGTATACTTTACTTCACACTACCTCAGCTCCCCAAAAGCAGCCTTAGCCTTAAGCCTTACGCCTTACGCCTCAAGCCTTAAGCCTTAAACTAAAACAGACGTTAAGTGCAGGAAGGTGGCAGGGGACAGGGGGAGGGGATCCAGCCCGCAAAATTTATGATGCGCGCGCGC